CGACCTAACTGATCGAATGATCTATAAAACAGTAAAGCTACCTAGATGATCAAATGATCTGTAATATTGATTGATAACAACTCGGTGATTAAGAGATCCTGATTGTGAGATTCGCTTTCTCATATACAAAGGTTGCACTTTTTTTTACAATGTTTAGTTTAGTTACAATATTTCCAAAGGCATACTCAGAAATTCTTCCCAAGACTTATTCTCCCTCTAATGCTTTTGAAGTTCACGTATTCATAGGCTCGCTTATTCTTTCACTCAATTTTTTGTTTCTTTCTGCGTTCCTCCGGTCTTATAGTCGTTACCACTGAGTCATCTGGGCGTGTCAACGTAGCGTGGGTTTTGGTGTGGCGCCAGCTCCTTTCCCACCACTCATTAAACGGCAGAGCCAGCTACATTAGATGAAAAACAGGCTGGAGCCGTACGAAAATCGACGCGCTGCTGACATACACCGACGATAATGGCAGTAATTATCTAAATACTCAATAACGTGATTGATTGCTTCTTTCGTTCATTTTTTTCTTTTCTTATTTCTATCTGTCTATCTTTCTCTATCTTTCCCTTTCTTTCCTCCTCTCTTGCTCTCATGCACTCTTCCTTTCTCGCCCTTCCTCTTTCCTTTTCTCGTTTATTTCATCCATTCCGTCTTTTTCGTTCTTTCTTCCTTGATTCAATTCTTCAGTTGTTCTTTCACTCCTCTCCGTTTTTTCCTTCCTTTCATTTACACTCTCTTTCTTGGTTTCGCATTTTCTATCCTGTCCATCTCACCTCTCTGTTGCCCAAAAGAACTCGTTTGTCTTTCTTCCTTTCTTCCTTTCGCCTTGCTTACAAAGTTACTTACTTATTTTTATGTTTGGTTATTTCTACTTTCTCCCCTCATAAACAGCAGAGCACGGGTGCTTGTCAACGAAGATACAGTCACTTCCGGTGGGGCAGACGCTGGGGCGTGTCATGGAGGCTGGGATTGGCGCGGTGCCAGTATGATAGTTCTCCACCAACTTGGAACAGCGAAAGACAGCAGCGATTCAGAAAACGGACTGGCTTTGCGGCCAAGCCCCTGCGCACCCAAGAGTCGCGGGATAAAAGAGACGTCTAATCTTCGTGTATATATCCAAATCCTACCTGAAAAGGAACGAATCCACATAAAACTACTGCTTCATTTAACTTAGGGGATAATTTCTTTTCTATACTAGCCCATGGCAGAGTCCTTTATTAACCGCCTTTCTTTCATGACGTTTTTATGTTGTACAGAAGAAATTCAGAAGACGCTATCAAGTCGACCCGAAAAGGCTGCGCTAAACGAATCACGAGCGCAAGGCTCATGGTCGAACTTAGCGAAGGCCTCAAGTGCGAAATCGAGCGAGTGTGAGCGCTTTGTGTGAAGGAGGATTCAATAGGCGAGACTATACAACTCACACTGACCTTATTTATATTCATACTTCATAGATCAGTCGGAGATACAGCGATGGCGAAATATGCCAAAGGCATATCATTCGGACCGTGACAAAAGGTTTCATTACGCCCAAAATCTACAGTGATGGGCGGAATTTGTAAGAAAATCGGAGAGTCGCTGGGAAATCATGCCAAAGGCATTCATTCGGACCGTGAAAAGGGATTCATTACCCAAAAATCTATAGTGATGGGGGAATTTGATAAGGAAAATTTTCGCCGTTTTATTTTTCGGATGAAACTGCTTGTAGCCCTTTTTGGAGGGACAGGACTGTTTCGCCTTGACTCTGAGCGGGGCCAAGGCACATCATCGTTGGACCTACTTCTGGCTCACCGCAACAGGGCGTCGTATTTTTTTTTGAGATAAGTGGTTTTCTTCTGTTTACGGAATGCTGTAAGGGGGGGGGTAAGGGGGATAGGAGTGGTACTCGCTCGCTTTTGGAGAGGGGAAGGGGGAAGGGGTAGGTATTTCGCCTTCTAATGAGGCAGATTTGTTGGGATAATTTGAGAAATTCCTGGAAAGTGGGCCAGGAAGTTGCGAAAATTTAAGTGTTAGGTAGGGTAATAGGTAGGTAGGTGGTATTAGGTAGGTAGTAGTAGTTAGGTAGGTAGGATGAGAGGAGAGGGAGGGGGCCGTCGTATTATGCAATTACGCAATTATTTCCGTTTCACATGTGCTCCCCTCTCTCTCCACTCTACACCTCAATCGTACCAGAGCAGGGAATTAGGGGGCGGGGGGGGGTCGTACAGACTCGATCAAAATCCCCAACCAGTGATGTGCCCTGTTTGAGGCACGTACGGAAGAGAAGTTAGGAGGAGTTCTTCATTTTCTAGCCCTCAATATTTTTTTCATTTGTTCGGTTTTTTAACCATTTTTTAATCAGTGGTTGTGTTTTTAGGGAGGTAGCTCAGCATTTGGCTCACAGAAGCAGGTTGTCAGGGAAGAGATCGAGGAGACCGTCATCAAGAGCACAAAAACGTAACTCAAATCTCCTTTACTTTCAATTTTACCTCCAACGGTCGTGTTGTTAGGTATAGAGTTATCACTATAGAGTAGTGTAAATTTGGCATAGCTTGAGAATTCTTCAGTATGACCCTACAGTATATTAACTAATCCAAAAAACATTTTTATCGGATTACAGGTCCAGCGGACAAAATCATGCCAAGGGAACGAAAACGCAAAAATTCAGCGAAACGATCTGTTCAGCAACCAAATGTGACTTTGAAAACGGTAACCAGTTACTCAGAATCTTCAGTTCATTTCAAAATAATATCTTGATTCTGAGAATCGCTTCAGGAAACACGTGTCATTACAAGGACGCTTATCAGTCGCAATCCATCCGTGGGCTAACAACGAAATTCCAAGTTGTAAAAGGGCAATTCATGAACAGAGTCACTGGTGTGAAGGAAAGCAGTGGTAAGTATCAGCTCGATTACCGCACTTGATATCATCGCAATTGCTCGGGGCGGTTCCAAGAGAGACAGATTGAGCCCACCCGCGGCGTTCTCCCCACTGGTCGTTTTCTTCCTAAATCGATTGCAACCGATCACCATTGGTAGAACAATGCACCTGAAGACGGGCTCATTCCGCCCCTCTTGCCATAGCCCCGAATGATTGCTAAACTCTTTAATGAAATTGTGATAAGCACTAATATTATCCGAAAATTTCGATTTTTCTTTTTTAGAAGGCGACTATTATGCGGCCACGTTCTTGTTCCCACGTGAAATGGCCGGTCTCGAAGCAACAACAGAGCCATTCACCGAGAAAACCCGGTTACGCTTCCAGTACTATGAAGGCACACATGGTGTACAACTGAAAGGTAAGCATTATGAAATAAAAATTTAAATTTGAAAAAAATAGGTAAAAAATCACTGCTGGGTCAAGCGCGCAAGGGAATGCTTCATAATTGAGATCCCTCGATATGGGACTTGATACCGATAGGCTGCAAGCTTTCAGTGACTTATACGATTAGTTACTTGAGCAGTAGCCTTTCATTTCCAAGAGTTTTAGGTAGCACCTGCTCAAGTAGTGTAGTCTGTCGATACTTATTAAGTTGGATATTTGCTCTGATTAGAGACAGACGTGACCCCTGGCGTGTAGAGACCCCCGCTACCGTCAAAAAAAGCTGCTCTGGGGACAGGGCACGTCCTGCCGTTGGAGGCAAATATGCAAAAATACAACTCTCTCGGAACTTCCTCCTCTGGTACCCCCCCCCCCCCCCCCCC